ACCAGTCAAGGGCATGTACCTTGGTTGCGGGCACATCCCCAGTAGGGGTTGTGCAGGAGGCAGCTCATAGATGTTTCTGGCTCTCTATCCTTCTCCCTTCCTCTCTGTAAAAAATCAATAAAATATATTTAAAAAAAAAAAAAAGAACTATCTATGGTTTGAAGAAAACTCTTCAAGGAACTTAAGACCCACCCCACCCCCAATCAAAACCCATTAGGGTTCTAGACTTAGGTAGGGACTTCTCTTTTAACAGATTTTCAAATAATACTTGGTATTTTGATATCAAATCAAACTGTACTTGGTTGGTCAAAAAGTAACCATGTATTTATTTTTTTTTTTAAATGTACTTTTATTGATTTCAGAGAGGAAGGGAGAGGAAGAGACAAACATCAATGATGAGAATTACCCATCAGCTGCCTCCCTCATGCCCCCTATGGGGATCAAGCCCACAACCCAGGCACGTGCCCTTGACTGGAATCAAATCGGGTACCCTCCAGTCCGCAGGCCTATGTTCTATCCACTGAGCCAAGCCAGGTAGGGCTGTGTTTACTTTTCTGTATAGCTCAATTACATATTCCAAAGTAATCAGTAATAAATTACCTGGGATAGGGAATGAAAGACACTACTACCAGTTTATTATGAAATAACAGGCTCATGGTTTAAAAAAATAAAAAAGTTCCTAAGAGTCTAGGTAAAAGGAAAAACCTGAGCAATCTACCGCTCCCTTTCACTCCAGACTTCACAGTCACTCCTCTTCCCACTGGCTAAAAAGTAACCAGGGCTAATAATTTTATGAAATATTTATTACCAAATGACCCATCGAACATCCCTTAAAACTTTATCTCGAAATAACGTGTCTTATTCATTTATGTGGGATGGGAAAGGGGTCTCCATAACTCCCCATCTTCAACCAGAACAGTTCGTGTTTTACATAGTGAATGTTCCAGTAAGCTTTTGTCTAAAGAAAAAGGTTTCTCTGAGTTTGAAAAGATGTCCAATGGGATTCCTAATAGAAGGGAAGGAAAATGCTGAAAGACCCGTTTTAACTAGAATTTAAATACTCAACAGGAAAACCTCCTGTTCCCTTATTCCTGTTTATTGCCAGTCCTTTTTTGTTGTTGTTGTTAATCTTCACCCGAGGATATTTTTCCATTGCTTTTTATAGAGAATGGGAGAGGGAAAGACAGAAACATTGATGTGAGAGAAACACGTCGACTGGTTACCTTCCAAATGAACCCTGACCAGAGCACAGGCCAGGGAGACGCCTGCAACCAAGGTACAAGCCCCTGACGGCAATTGAACCCGGGACCCTTTGGCCCACAGGCCAACACTCTAGCCACTGACCCAAACTGGCTAGGGCTCTTGCCCAGGCAACAGCCTTAACAGAATTACCTCATCTCTATTCTGCTTTTCCCTAGCAGACTACTCAATGCCCGTGGAACAGACATTCGGAGAATGGAAACTTCTTAAAAAGTAATTTCAATGTCAACTTCCAAAACAAAAACTTAAATTGGGCCCTAACTGATTTGGCTCAGTGGACAGAGCGTCGACTCAAAGGTCCCAGGTTTGATTCCGGTCAAGGGCATGTACCTTGGTTGCGGGCACATCCCCAGGAGGGAGTGTGCAGGAGGCAGCTGATCGATGTTTCTAACTCTCTATCCCTCTCCCTTCCTCTCTGTAAAAAATCAATAAAATATATTTTAAAAAAAAACTTAAATTGGAAAATTTTAACAGCCAGGACCCCCAAAAGTTACTCATCTAAGGACGATTTCTTGAGTTAAAACCTAACTATCCAGAAATAGTCACACTCATTGCCTGAAAACTCGGGTTACTGACAGAATGGACCCAGAATATGTGCAGAAGTACATGCCTCCGGGTGGAGGGGCGGGGGAAGGAGGAAAGTGAGGAAGACCCTCAAAGTCAATTTTGGTTGAAACACTATTTCAACTATTCTTGATCATGTCCACCCTCATACCCATACAACTTTGTAGGGAGCGGCTGTAGGGTTAAGCCTCAGACTGACTTGTTGGCAAAGCCACAAACAAGTCCCAGCTTAGAGGGCACAGCCCTCTTCACATAATTAAGCTTGACCTTATGAGCTCCCTAGATCCTTCCTGGGAAGCTAATGGGCTGTGGGAGGTGCAGCAAGTGCTGCCAAAACAAGTGAAACTCACAAGAACACTGTAACTATGGTGACCACTACCTTGTTTACCTCTGACTATAAAATAAAGGCTCAGCTTGCTGTCTGGGTTTCCCTCTGTGGCCTTAGCTAGGCAAAGGAGGTCCACCTAGACCCAGCTTATTCTCTTTGTCTGTCTTTTCTTTAATCCTTCGCTGCCCCCCTCAGGCTCACCGAACCCTTGGCTGTGCTGGCCTGGCACACAACTTAATATAGCCCTGGCCAGGGAGGCTCAGTTGGTTGAGCATCAAGGTCCAAAGGTCACGGGTTCAATTCTCAGTCAGGGAACATGTCCAGGTTATGGGTTTAATCCCCAGTAGGGGGCGTGTGGGAGGCAGATCAATGTTTCTCCCTCTCCCTTCCTCTCTAAAATCAATAAAAACACTTTTTTTAAAAAATGAAGTTAATATATCTAACTGAAGCTCTCAATGACTGGGGATAAAAGTACCTAGCATGCATTCCTCAAACAAGAGGTCTGGCATCTCAAAAATCTCTCTTTGTACCTCAGAGCACTACCATTCCCCGTAAAGAAGACAAGTTTGTTTTGTCCTGAGACCCATACAACCCCTCCAGTATCAGATGCATCTGCTTCCCAATAATAAATCAACAGAGACCCAGTGTAAACCTTTTTATAAGCAGGACTCCCTAGTAAGGGATTTTCTATCAATTCTCCTGGTTCACTGATGTGCACAAAGCTGTGTGACTTAATACTACTACATACTACTTAATACTACTTAGTACTTAATACTACTAATACTACTACTTAATACTAAAACATCTGGTCTGACTACTAGCAAGCCTCCGATTTGAGCATCACATTGTCCTACGAGACAGCTACGGGAAGTGGGAAGGTAGACGTAGTCATACCAGCTTGCAGTATAAACAGTACCAAACTCTGAGACAGTTAATATCGATGAATTGTTTACTCTCAAATTATTCCAGGCTACAAATGCTTCAAGTTTTCAAAGCACTGAACTGCTTTATTCTTCCATACTAATGCCAGTTTCTGTAGAGAAGAGGTACAATTCCTTCCCCAGAGAAGCCTACAACTAGACCAAACAAGTGGTTCTGAACATATTCTTTCCCCTGGGGATAAAGCTACTTATCTCCCTTCACTCAGATTTCTACAGCTTAGAAGCATTTTTAAGAGCTTACAATGGACAGTTAAGAGCCATTTACCTCAGAAAAAGGACAACTTTGTTTTCTTAGAAAAACGCATTTATTCTCACTGTAACTCAGTCCAATGACAACACCCCTTGTTGTCCACCTTGGAGCCAGCATCAGACTTCTTGATGAAAGAAATGCTATCGGGTCCCTGAAAAGGCATTTCCAAGTGGACAGGAAATGAAATGGCTCGCTGGATTTTTTTTTTTCTGGCCCAGAAAAACGAAACAGTTCTAAGGAATTAGAGTCTAAGTCACAGTGGGAAGTAGGGTTTCCACCTAGAAGCTTATAAACAGGTTATAAGGATAATCAGCTCTACTGAATTAACCATGTAGACCCAAACTACTCCATTTACGTGGAACTAAGAAAAAGCCATAGGGGACATTGTGAATTGTTGAACCCCAAGCCTACAATTCAAAACAGGTGACATGATGGTGGTTTAAAGCAGTAATCTGCATATAGCTGGGCAAAACCACCTTAAATACGTTTCCCTAATTTTCCACTCCGTCTCTCCTAGTCTTTGGCACACCAAAGCGTTTGTTCAATTTCCCCCCTGAACACCCTCTTGGTGAAAGCTTGCTTCTTGCAGAGAACTTAGCAACATACAAAAGGTGTACAGAACAAAGAATTTTTCAACTTCCCAAGGCCATGTACCTACACACCAATTACACTGCAAGAACACTACTGGTTTGAATACCAGACCCCCTAAAGATCATAAAAGCGGGGGAGAAAAATTACCTTACGGAGGATGAATGTCCGAACAAGGAAGAATAAAATTCCAGACATGATCCCAGAAAGCAGCGGAGAAACAAACCAAGACATCACTGGAATAGAACACACGAAGAACAAATATCAACAACAAAAGTCAGGAACCAAAACGCACTTTACATTTTAGTATACTATTCTGTTTCCACAATTTGAATCTGTCCCTCTGCTCCTTCTACACAGTACTCCCCCACAGGCAATGCCACAGGACAGGACAATTACTAAGAAGCCATTCTGAATGAAACATACCAATTTTTACCAGTTCGGACCACTTGACACCTTCCTGCCCTTGAGCCACCAGGGAGAAACCAATGGTGGCGCCCACGATACAATGGGTTCCAGAAATGGGAAGCCTCAAAAACGAAGCCGCTAGCTGCCACACGGCAGAACCTGCAACACAGTCAAGTTTGACTCAGTCAATGACAAAACCCCACCACGGAGGCGGCGCAGGCTGCAGGCAGTCATGTGAGGGGCGCCCCGCACGGAACTCACCGAACATGGCGCTGACCGAGCCGGCCATCAGCAGGTGCTGGGTGGTGTTGTACATGGTCACGTCGATCAGGCCCTTCCGGATGGTCTCGCTCACCTTGGCGCCCAGCAGGACGGAGCCCACGGTCTCGAAGATGCTGGCGAGGATGCAGGCCTGCTTCAGGGTCACCACCCCCGAGCCCACCGCCGTGCCGAACGAATTCGCCACGTCATTGGCGCCCACGGAGAAAGCCAGCACGAAGGCGATGATGAAGCCCAGAATCAGCATCCACAGGTACTTCTCCAGCGGGCCGCCGGGGGCCGCGGCCGTGGCCGCGGTGCTGGCCATCAGCGTGGCCGCAGCACTGGCCACCAGCGTGGCCGCAGTGGACGCCATCCCCGGAGCAGCGGCCTTAAACTAACAAGAACTACTGCTGCGCGGCTCTCAGGCGTGTAAACAGAATGAGTATGAGGTATCACAGACGCTCTAATAAATAATATATATTATATAAAATTAAATACTGT